CCCCGCGCGCCGCTTCCCGGGCGGGTCCATCCCTGCGGCCACTCCCGGTCCCAAACCCCGCCCAAGCCCTGCGGCCACTCCGGTCCCAAACCCCGCCCAAGCCCTGCGGCCACTCCCGGTCCGAACCCGCCCCGAGCCCCGCGGCCATTCCCGGTCCCAACGCGCCCCGAGTCCTGCAGCCACTCCCGGTCCGAACCCACCCCGAGTCCTGCGGCCACTCCCGGTCCCAACCCGCCCCGAACCCCGCAGCCCTGGCACCGCAGCTGCGCCCCTCCCGCCCGGCACTCCCTCCGCATCCGTGTCACCCGCGTCCCTCCCCCCGCCAGCCACGTGCGCCCAGAGCAGAGCAGCCCRGACACCCACCCGTCCCCATCACTGCCGCTTCCGCACGCCTGGCATCCCGAACAACCCTCGTATTCCCCAGCTCTCACCGGAGCCGGGACAGCCCAGCGGGTTATGCCAGTTCCCGGGGTCCCGCTCTCACCGCAGGCACCCACAAGAAGCGTTCCCTGGGGACTCGGCACCGCAGGGACCCGCTGCCCCAAGGAAACAGCACAGCCTGTGGGGTTCGCATGTTTTAATGATGGTTTAGGAAATGTGAGCTCGCCGGAGAGCCGGCGGCTCAGGCGTTCGCCAGCCCCACATGCACATGCTGACGGGAGAGCAGCCGGGCACACGAGCCCGAGCCTGACGGGCTCGGCAGCGCCCCGTGCACCCCGCATCCTCKCAACACCAGGGATTCCCAAGGGCTGCCACGGCAGACATTTCATGGATTATGATTATGAACGGCACAGCRCTGCTCTCCCGGGAGAGAGCTGTGCGTGGAGAACACGAAATGCTGGGAGCAGGGACATGCAAGCAGTCCTGAAGGGCATTGGTCACAGTCACCTGGATGAGATCAGCGCTTGAGCCTTTCTTAGACTTCTCTGATGTTCTCCACGGACTGTGGGCAGCCACCAATTTCAGCAGAAGCACAACATGACTAACTTAGKATGGAACAAGCCATATGGGAGTTACCTGAAACCCAGAGTCCAGTGGGACCAGACCCTGCTGGACAACACAGCCAGAACACCTGGGCCAGAAATTCTTCATGGATGACATGAAGGGATACATCTAAGACTAGAGACATTCTGCAATATGGTAGGTGTCTTCTGGAAACCCAGCAGTATCCTGGGTGAAAGCTCAGGAAAGAGAGTAGGACCTTTTCTATYGACCTTTTTAGCTGAAATAAACTAGAAAACATTTATTGTTGTATATTCCTAAAAAAAGAAACAAACAAAAGYCTCACAGGGGCTTGTGAGCATCGCTTGCAAGGTGCACCCACGGCTGCAATGCCCAGGCCTCAGCCAYACACACATCCTCTACTCCACCTTGTAGCCAGCATTTTGGGTAAAACTTTAGGCACTGTGCTCTCTGTCCTTTATAATTTACCTTCTGTGCTTTACTTTTGGGGGGCACTTTGAGAGAAGGTGGAAAATACACATTTTCCTCCAGAGGATGTTGCTTATTCCTGAAAAGTTCAGCGAACAGAGGATTCAAGTGTCCCTGAAACACTACCTCCCCCAAGCCCAGCTGGAAAGGCAGGGTATGAATAGCTGCATGATTTGTAGYTGTGGCTCTAACACCAAGCATTATCTAAATTTCCCTTTTGAGGAGAAGGATGGGTCTAGTACCCCAGAAAATGAGCATTTCTCGGTTCATCATGATGGGGGAAATTCTGTTTTTGTTTGCCTTTTGCTTATCTGCCCTAGAGCTTATGAGAGCCCAGCTGCTACCTCAGTCATATCCTGGATGAGAGCAATTGCTGTGAGATCTTCCTGCTGCTGGGCAAAAAAGGTGCAGCTTTTAAGCTCACCTAAGCCAACATGAAAACGTCAATGAAAATATTTGCAAGTTGAGTAACAACCCTTACATTTCACCTTGGCGTGTTACCACCACACTTCACTGGGACTGCAGGGAAATTCTGACCYCTCTGTGCTATCCTAAGGTTAAAACCCCCAAGCAGTCCTTCCCCCACACCCTTCTCACTGCTTATCAACTGTCTGCTGCATTAAGAAGTCTGAAATCTCCAATCACATGCTGAAATGAGTACACCAGAAAGACAGGTTCTTCTGAGGAAGGCAGAAATTCCATTGCTTGATTCATTTCCCATCACATACAGGCAGCTCGACATCTCCACAATGTCTTCTTGCTTGTTTGTTATAGGGAACAGGAATCAGCTTACTTCCATGACCATCTCTCCCTGCCAGAGGGATGTGCTGGGCTCATACTAAAAATTCCAATACACTTCACAAGGTGGGAAATATGACAGGGATTTAGGTTGTACCTGAAGAGTACAGAGATTATTTAGTGACCTCATGGAATTTAACCTCTCCTTCCYCTCCAAAGCATCTGATTTCCCAGATGTGTGGCAAACAGGAATCTCTCTCCTSSTCTACAAAACCTCACCCACCTTCCMCSAAGCTGAGATCAAGTTGTGGACTGTGTTCAGGGCAGAAGATGGCAATATTTGTCAGACAAGAATAAAATGGGTTGGATCAAATGGGATTTGGGTAGAAATGTTTCAGGTTCAAGCCTCAAGTAAATCATGAAGGTRGAAGCTGAGAAGAGCCTAAACTCACTGCAGTGCCTGAAAAGAAACTGGGATCAGGTTTCTGAATTTTACTTGAAACGCTCAGCACAAAGCGATGCTAGAAATCCTACAGCCTGCCAGTGAGCTCCGAGGGGGTCTCTCTACCTCTTTTAAGCAGAATCCAACTGCCTCAGACTGGGATAGACACTGATTCAAATCTCCATAGGAAAAGGGATAGCTATAAAGAAAATTGCCTTCCTTGCTTGGGTTAATTCACCGCCTGCAGTTCAGSACCCTTTTGCCAGCCATTGCCTGGGTGTTCAGCCAACCAGCTTGGAAAATCAGCTAAGGAAACCGACTTGTTGGTGTTCCTGGTTTTAGGCACCCTGCGATGCCGGAGAGCTTGCTCCTTTCTATGTAAYGGAGCAGGAACAAAGGGAAGGAGTTCACCTATTTGGAGCCGAGCTAAGGCACTAATGATGCAGTAGGTGAGGAAAGAATAAACACAGCGGGAGGAGGACAACTCCATCATTCTCTTCACTCGATTCCCTTAAAAAAACCCAGTGTTGTCTCTATAGAAAAGGAGGAGCTAATACAGCATTACAGTATCCCTGCTGGGGGTTCGTTTTAAGGTTGTWCTGTTGTTCTCCCAGAGAGATTTGTTTCAGGTATCAAAGTCACAGGAGCTGTTYCTAAAGTGGATTTTGGTGAATGCAGGCAGAGTGATCCGAGCARCTCTGGCTCATCACAGCTCTGTGAGGATGCCTGTTTTGTTGTTTTTCCCTGTGGTCTCCCAGAAAATATGAAGCCTGTCTCWATCGCTTTTTGGCATGACACTGAGATAAGCCACCGAACTGTGCTGACCCGAGGGGGGCAGTCTCTCCCTGTTCACAGCAGTGGCAGTTGTGTTGTCATCACAGCTTGATGAAGATCGATGATGACTGGCTCATCTTCTGCCCGGTATCGGTGTCGAGGGGGAAAACGCTGGAGATGGCTACATCCACAATTCCTTGGCAGAGCTCTGCATACAGCTTCCTGAGATAAGAGAGAGAGGGAATCAGATACCCAGGCAGCACAAACCAGCAGACCCCCRGCCTATTTTTGTGTRGAAATGCATTTTCYCARCARGATCTACAAGATCCTGTTCCCATTWYAAGSAGTTTSAGGGTGGCAAACAGGAGGAGGGCAATGTTTCTCCTATCTCCTCCCTTTTTACACCAGTGATTATCTTTTTCCATCGTGACAATTCCCAGTATTGCACCCTTCCAGAAAGGACCACAAAACCTATTATCTCTGTTTCCTGTCAGGTCAGGCTTCTGAGCAGAGGCTGTGCACCCTCA